TTAGAGATGCAGAAAAGTTTTTTGAGATGCAAAATCAGGGAGAAAATAGAATAGATAAAATTGGCAATGAAGTACAATATTCAAATAAAATCAGACATTATTACTGTCTTGGAAATAAACCAGATTCTTTTTACACTAATGAACAATATACTGCTGCCATGCTGAGTGCTTCACAGTCAGTAAAATAAAGATTAAACTGGTACCAGTACAAGTAGAACTACATGGATTCAAACAAATACAAAATGACAAAATCAGTAGAAAACCATAGTCAATTATTTTATTTTCAAGGGTGACTTGGCTCTATCAGGAAGATTAAACTCTATATTTGTTATTAGGGAAATGCTTGAACTTAGGATATAGAGTGGGTTGAAAGTAGTGAGCTCTATATCGCTGTAGGAGGCATGTCTGTAAGTGTGAAGTATCTTCAGGCCATTAAGGTCTTCTCTTCTGTAATGGGTTGGCAGATCCAGTGGGTGAATCTATGTAATGGTCTGAAGTATGGGATAAAGAGGATGGTCCTCTAGTGTGACGAGGCCTAATTGCCCATCATCCTGTGGTAGAAAGAGACATCACCATGTTTCGTATTTGCCCTCTACGACAGCCTGCACTGAAATTAACACCTTCATAACATCTGGTGAGCGCCTTTCTGGGCCAACAGAACAGCAAGGAAAGATTTCTATTGGGAAGTGTCCCTGCTCGTTAATCTCAGCGCAGATCATATACACTCATGCAAGCAGGCGCACACATGAATACTGCTATGAAAAGAGACACACATGCGTGCACATGCGCCTTGCAGCCTTTTTCTCTTGCAGCAGAGCTGCCTGTCCTCTGATTGACCGAGCCCAACCTACTGGCAGCCTCCTTTGCAACAGGCTTGGGATGGATCTCAGCCCCAAACTGTTCCAGGTTTTCAAAACAAGATAGAGATGGAGAGGAGATGGTAATATCATTAAAGTGCTCCTCCACCTCCCAACAATAAGGGACTCCAAAGAAATGCAGAAAGCCAGGATGAGCCTTCCTTGAGAGTACATTATCAGCTATGAATGTCAAACTAAAAGCAGTACCATCCTCTGCATATATTCAAAAGCATAAAAGGTCAACTTCTTTGCTTGTTTGTTTCATTGAGCATGTTACAGCATGGCACACAGGTCAGCTAACAGTGTTGAGGAGTCAGGGTTCACGGGTCAGAGTGCTACATGATAAGAGAGGAGGTCGATGACCTTGCTGGTGCGTCGCCTCCTTTAATCGCTGTTCTGAGGTCGCTCCGACTGCTTAGCAGGTACCGGTCAAGGTTGGGGCGAGGGTAAGGAGCTCTGATCCAGGATCTGTTTGCAAAGCAGCATGTAACCACACAACAGTCAGTGACCCTGAGTGGTGAATTACAGCGTGTAGAGAACACTGTGTTTGTTTATTTGCTATAGACAGTGCTATGGACTGTGGTTGTGGTGTAAAATCGGAGAAGGATCCCCACATTGAACCCATCAGACGAAGCAAGGCCCTTCACTTCATTAGGAAGTCTATACTCAAGCGTATACTTTTTTTTTTTGTTTTCTCTCTTTCTTCCCGCAGCCTATCTGTCTCTCTCTCTCTCTTTCACCCTTCAGAGCGAGTTCAGCGGAGATTCCTTTGGCATTACCCTCACCCCAGACTGCTGGAAAACCGCAGCGCTCCGGATGCTGACCCTTGCTCAGCTCAGCACAATGCTTTAATTTGGTGTGTTGTTTAAAGTAATTAGAAAGCCTTTTTCCCTTGTTTTCTTTTCTATTCTTTTCTGTTCACTGCCAAGTGTGAGAGGGAAACAGTGAGTCGTCCGTGACTTCAGCTTGATAAAGACTCGGAAGAGGAATCCAGGGGACTGGGAGAGGAAGCAAAGAACGCAGATACTGTAAGCTCTTGCTGTACACACTTCCCCCCTGTACTGCCGCAGATTGGGAAACTCTGTCTGAAAACAAACAGGGACAGGACTCGGGGGATACTTGTGTCTGAATGTGTGTATTAGAGGGTGTGTGTACAGCATTTGCAAACGCAAATGTCTTAAAATAATGAACGCTTTCACCATGGCACATTACTTTTACTGCACGGAATTCAAATTTGACAGAAGACAGTAATATCACATCTGAAGGAGGCAGAGAGTTGATGATGGAGGAAGGAGAGAAGGTTCATCACATTCACCGATCTTGAGGCAGTAAGACTTCAGCGCCGAGACAAGCGAGACGATGATTGTCAAAGAATCGTCTTTGTGTCGCCCGTGCTGCTCTGTACTGTTCAGCACAACTGTCACAGCGGCAAGAAAAGGAGCATTAATGGTGCTGATCTTTGACAATTAATCCCACTTTCATCAGATATATTGCTGCAAAGAATGTCTGTGCAGACCCACGCCGATGCATACTCTTGTAAGCATACATGCACAAATACACACATATTTTTTAGACAGACACACACACAGACAACTTTTATCTCCATCTACACACACACACACACACTGTATTTTCCCACACACATGGAAATACCACACACACGTGCACCTGGAGTGACTCATGCAAATGGATGTGTGTGTGTGTTCGCAAGAGCTGTAGTTCTATACTCTGGTTGTGCCAGAATTATAACCTTGGAATGAAAGGGAACATAGCAGACCACATCAGACACACAGTATTGAGTATTCATGTGCAATGCAACCACCTGCATATTCACTTATAGGAAATATACCCTTCTGCTATCCCGTTCTCTCGCACAGCGTATTTGCCCCCTGACTATCTCCCCACCAGCCCAAACCAACCTCTCCACAGTGCTTCCAAAAAGCCAGTAGCAGCAATGACGCTCAAATCCACACATATCAAGGCTGTCGAACTGTGAGAAGTACACAACACACTCACTTAAAGCCATTGCTGACTGTGCTCATGTTAGACAGCCGAGATTGAAAGGTCACATATGAGACACTCATAGCAGTGTTCTCATGGCTAAAAAAAAAAAAAAAAAACTTTCCTGACATTAGTGAGCTCTTCAGCCCAGTGTCTCAAGCAGATGTGTTGTTTAAATTCAACCAGACACCCTCAAACCACACGACGAAGATAACGATATTGAAGCAACCTTCAAAAAAAATCCTTCAGCTTGGATTGTAGCTAGGCAAGAAATCCAAAAGACTAACTTCAAGACAAGCTGCAAGAAATAGTTGGTGGCAAGAGTTTTAAAATGGTACTGTTTTATATCATGACAAACATAAGTTAAAGTCAGTCATAAATACGCTGTCCAGGATTCTTGGACTAAATGTGGAAGTACACTTCAATCAAAATGACAATGCTCTGATGCTGCTAGGACAGTCTCAAATATTAAAAACTGTGAAACTTAAGATCCTATGAGAGTACAGTAATAAGTGTCTATATCTCCTCTTGTCTCTGACCATAGGACAACTTAGTACAACTGAGAAGAACAGTATTGTCATACTAAAAGGCACTTGCCATACAAGTATCAATAGTATCAACATGTCTTAATGTTCCAACCAATTCCTGAGGTACTTGAGACACAATAGTCCCTTTCAAGAAGGAAAGAAAAGCAATTCTGCATGAAGTGGGAGTTGCATGTACTTACTTGCATGTGAAGTGAGTGGCACATTATGAGAATATGTCACCTTTGGTGCCTCATTTTAATTAGGAAGTGCATGGGGAAAGAATATCATTAGATCTAAACAAATACAAGCAGCAGGTAGGGGGACAAATCATCATGCTGGGTTTTGTTTTATGGCTTGTGTGAATTTTTTTTGTCAAGCAATGTCGCCATCTACAGGCAGGGAAAAGTGTCCTCTGAAATTTAAGTCTGTGTCATTCACAAATTAGGGGTTTTAGTTTGTCTGTGAACCTATTTGCAATTGCTAACCTTCAATTCTATGTGCGTACCACAAACTACTAACCTAACCACCAGGTTACTGTTGAGTAACTGAAGGGTTGTATCTGTCTCATATGGCTTGTATTTTGCCGATTTTATTGTCAACTTTTTATAATATGGAAATAGAGGCTTATAAGTAGAGGATCTTAGCTCTAAAGACTCACCAAATAAATAGATATGTACAGTTTACATCTAATTTCATTTTTATGTTTAATATCACAATGACACACAGAAATGAGATTTGATTATAATGACTGGATTTAATACGTCTTCCAAATCCAATCCAATCTAACTGCTCCAAAGAATCCTTATGAAGAGATAAACACACACATATAGCAGGTGAGAGTCTGTGAGAAAATCTGAGGTCTGTTAACTGGATATTTCCAACAGTGTCTTGGAAAAAGGCACTTATTAAAATTAATCACTTCATTGTTCACGCTCACTCCATAGTCCAGTCCTCTCTCTCGTTTTCACTCTCTACTCTCCAAATGTGCCTGGCCATGATTAAAACATGTCTGTTTCTCCATGACATTGCTTTGACATCATTTAATTGGTATAAGAGATAAAAATAAATGAATTAAATAAATATACTACCAGGTAAGTGGCGTAACGTAGCTCAAGGTGACAGCCTATTATTTCTCCCTTTTCTTTGCCTGAAAGAAGGCGAAGTGAGAAATGTGAGATTGCACTGAGAATGCAGCACCTCAAGGGGCAGATGGAGTTATTTAAAAAAAAAAAAAATCAGTAGAGAGATTTTTTAAAATTAAATTCCAATTTCCACAAAGTTTACAACTGCAATTTAATGAAAAAGTATATTCTAAATGAGTTTGCATTATGTTCATCTTCTTGTTGTTTCCTGAAAAAAGTATTTAGCCTCTCACTCATCTCATCACAATCGTGTCACAATTTTTACATCACAAATATGTATTGTTTGTATTAAGTCCAGTATCACAGGAATGAAATGCAAGTAAATGTGATTAATGTCATAAATAAAACAAGAGCGAATGTCGCCATAAAACAATGGTGTCTGAGTTTTAACCCTGCATTGTCTATGGAAAGAGGGTTTTACAGTGAAATGAAAGAAAGGCGGAGGGATATCGAGAAGCGACTGGGTTACTCACCACGTCTTGCCTGGTATCCTTCCCTGACACGATGAGGATGTAGTTCCAGGCCAAAGGCAGCAGCAAAGCCAGAGGAATCATATAGAGTTCAAAGTTCCACACGACGATGACAAAAAGCTGATGAGAGAGAAAAAGACAAAACCATCAGCAAAGAAAGCGGAGAACAAAAAAGTGAGGGTTAACAACGTATACATTCAAGACCCCATATTGACCCTCATGAGGCAAACCCCTGAGAACGTACGCCGACCATATGTGCGACTGGAAACAACACACATTCAAACACATTCATATGCAGAATCATAACCACCATGGAACAAAGCGTAAAAATAAGGCTTTGCTTCAACAAAAGGTACAGGCCTGGTGTCGGTGAGTCTAGGTTCAACACCCTGACCCTCAAGGCATTCTGGGCCTTCATCTGAGGAGGACGACGGGGAGGAGGATGAGTACGAGCCGTCAGAGTCTCTTTCCTCCATGCCAATCACCCCAGAGGTTGAGGTCATGTACCGTTTCAGCCGCAGCACGTCAATGCTGACCCTTCCATACTCAAGCCCAAAACCCAGCATCTGACCTCAAACACCCCACACCCCGAGTCCCTAACCCTGTCACTCCAAGCTCCAAAACCCTCTCTCTTACCCCAAAAGACTAATATGCCCCATCTCTAACCTTCTCTGCACCCATCTGCCAAAACCATAACCTCTATACCTCCCCTCTCATCACCAAACAAGCAAAGTACCATCTGAAAATTAACCTTTCCTAAAACCCTGTATTCTGGTTTTGGCAGGTCTCTTTAGCCTCTGACAGCAGATTATTGCGGTGGTCAGGAGAAGAGATCTGTGGGAAAGTAAAATTGCTAATGATGGAAGATTGTTATTTCACGGCAGTATTGTATCAAATGTGAGAAAACAGTGTGCCGATTGTTAAAAAGTTAAGATGGTAGAGATGGGATATTTTCATGAGGATAAAATCTATCAGAAACAAATAGAACAAAAGTAAATTTATAATATCGTATTCTTTTTTTTAATAATTTCATGTTTAAGTATACAGAGAAATTTCATGGTTGATAAAACCTCAGCAGCAACTATTAAGAAATGCTGAAAATGCAAACCATGCCTAATGCTCAATCTTCACTAGCAAAACATATTTATCAAATTCAAGTACAAGAAATCCATTATTTCAAATATGAGCAAAGAAGATTTGAAATTAATTACTCTCTTTATGGAAATGCATCCCTGTTTAACAATCAGTTTTGATGGGAAACTTTTAAGAGTGGTGAAATTGAGACTATTACTGTATAAAGCTGATTTATTGGTCTGTGTACCAATTATGATCTATCCTGTTTGGCTGAATAATATCAACAAGAGACATAGGAAGCTTAATAATCAACAATCAAATTGTTTTATTTGTGTGTGTGTGTGAGTGTGAGTGTGTGTACGACGGAAAGAGACAGAGAGAGAGGGGAGGATTTAAAAAAAAAAAAAAAAAAAAATCAAGCTCTTCATTGTGTTTACAGTCTAAGGTTAATGTGAATATGAAGTTCAACAGCCCCTCAAGACTACGTATGCAGGTCTGCTGTCGCTGTACTGGAACCAGTCGGACACTAAACTGCACACACACTCGCGCACTGTGGTGTTGGTAATTCATATTCCTTTCACCCATACACCCACCCACCCACACACACGGGCAAACATATGCATCTGAATATCAATGCAAACAACTCTTCACAATAACAACGCAATTAAAACAATTCAATTTTCTCAACTTTTTCCCCCCTCTCGCAGAGGAAAGTTTGACAGGCTCATATCCAAACTTTTGAACAGAACAATAACTTCATGTAAAATTAACAGACACTGAGTGTACAAAAGCAAAAAGAGGCATAAATTAAATATTAGAAATGACCAGTGCATTTGCATAATGCTCACAGCAAAATTTCATCTTCAAATAAACCTGAATGGCCTTGGTGCAACAACAAAATCTCCCAAAAGGCTCAAAATCTTTCTCTGTCTCTCTCAGGCACAACTTCACTTTCTCACATACACAAAGTCTTTAACTCTAATACAGCTGTGTAGGAGTATTAGAAAGAATCTATTCAATAATTCATATTTGTATACTAATAAGAAACACAACCATTTCCCTTCATTCATCATAAAAAGCTGTTAGGACTGTGAAAACTCAGCAACAGAAACTCACACACACACACAAACATAACAAATGTTCACAAACACAGTTTCTCCACAAAATTTAACCATTCTAAAATTATCCATCTTCCTATAAATTATTATAATTTACAAAACTATATTATCTGTAACACTGATAAACACTGGAATAATCTCTAACTAAACAATGTGCAACAGAGGTGCAGAAACATGACTTCAATCAAACGAACAAAGGAGCTCACGTGTTTTAAACCTATTCTGGTAGAGGCTATAAATAACTGCACACTTACAAACATCTTCATGCATACACACTCTGCTCCTTTCAGATACTCTGATATAAATATAACCAGCAGCAGGCATATGTTGTACTGTAAATATATTTACTGTCTCGATCTCTAATCGCTCATAGTATCATTATCGCACAACGGACATTAATTGCTCCTCACTATCCTGATGTTTATATTGAACCTTAAAACCCTCTTTTATGTTGTTTTTTTTTTCTTTTTTTAAATCTCACTTTCTTCACCGTATGCCTGAGGTTGTTTAACCTGTCGTCCCCCTTCATCTTCCTCCATTTGGTTATAGTAGCTGAGGGCGAAGTTTTGACTGGCAGCTAGAGGAACTGGACACCCAGGCTCAGCAGTGGCCAGCTCTGCCCCGTCTCCATACCCCCCGGCAGGGTAATAGGGGCCCTGCAGTGCCTGGACCTTTCCACCAGGACTGGGTGATCACAGCCACCCCCCATCGCTTGCTACACCAGATAGCAGGCTCTTTGCCTGGGGAAGAGGGAGTGGGAAGCAGCCTGCTGTGTATGTCAGTGACCAGAAAAAGGCAGAGAGGAAAAAAAAAAACAAAAAAAACAACAATGAAAACATGCTGGATTGAGGAGAGGAAAATGGCAAATGAAGCTCCAGATGTAGTCTATGGGAATAATTTGTAGATGACTCTGTGTGGTCAGAAACACATTATGTAGTGGTCGGTGATGCTTCATAGTGAATATCTGAACACGCATACAGAGGAGAGCTCACCGTGTCCCGCTCTTGCTTTTCTGTTTAATACTGCTGAAGTCTTACCGGTGTGGTAATGTAAAAATATAACTCAGTCAGTATGTTTGTCTCTTTGTATATAAGCTTTTATTTTATTTAAATTATGCAAACTTTTAAATTTAGTTTTGAGAGCATCAAACAGAAAAGTAATGATGCAAATAAATGTGGAACTTAGACTTGTCCAAAACCAAAAAGGGGTGCTGTACTCTGTTTCTCCTTGTCATGATATCATTGTATAAAATATTGTCGGTGATTATTTCAACTACCAAGGAACAGTTATATATGCCAATATCAATTTTAGAGTGAGTTTAGATTATTTGGATGAAAGTGGACATTTGTGTTTCCAAAATTACTCCCTGTTGAGGAAAAATAAAAAGAAGTGAAAAATGAAATAACAATTTTCCTTTAACACCAAATCTTTTTTTGTCATAAAAAATGTATCATACTTTATTTTCTAATTATATGTGCTTCAACAAGTCCTTGGTGAAATCCACTGAAATGTCAGAACAAAACTATTCGCTTGTCACTAAGCAAAGTAAAATAATATTTTCCACTGTCAAATCTGCTAAACCATTTCAAATACAGTTAAAGGCTACATTTGAACTGGGCAAACTTCACATCTGAGCTGAAGTTGAAATTCAAATGAGACATATTATTAAAATAGACAATCACAAACATGAACAAAGCAAAGCCATGGCAGCATAATTTGTAATATTTTGGCTAAAGTACCCATACACAAATTTAGTAAACTAAATTATTCTGACAAGTCTCTGTAGTTGGATTTCATTTTGTTATTATCTTTGATGCTTTCTCTTAATATTAAGAAATCCCCTCTACACAAGAAGATGCATTAAAAACCTTAACAAAAGAGAGAAGTCAAAATGTTTTATTCAAGCAACCAGTACGGCACATTGAGAGTTGTATCTTGCATTATTTGTTTCAAAACACAACCCGTGTCCTTACGGCTCTGCGCCGCGGCACTGTGGGAGGGTAATATTCAGTACTTTGGCTTACATTAACCACACACCAGGCTAACTTTCCCCCTGCTCTGTCTCAGTGGAGTGAAACTGAAGTTTGGATTTCAGAGTTCCCCTTTATCTCTCTTACATCAATTTCCATGCTGGCACTAAGTGTTGCCAGATACCAAGTAGAAGTCCTGTTAAGTTCGAGGGAACTAGAGAGGGAGGGAGACTGTCCTGTTTGTGACCGGACCTTCCCATCATTCAGTGGTGCTAGACTGCCCCCTGCTGTACTCCTGCAGAACATAGATCCACACCACAATTAATGCTGTTCATCCAATGAAAAAAAAGCTAAAACCAATGTGTCAAAGCCAGTCATTTCGTAATACCATAGAAAAATAAAATAAAGCATCCACAGATTTATGGCCACAGTACTGCAACTGCACACTGGTACCTATGAGAAGTACCGATGCTGAATTTCTGACTCCTCAACAAAGGGCCTCACGCATTTTCTGTTCAGTCTCTATCTCTGGTGATTAAACTCTGACTTGGTATTCTCTGTTAGTCATGCCACTATATTTCAACTATCATTCATTTTGCAAATCAGGAGAGCAGTAAAATGTGAAAGTAGATCTTTCAAAGCTGTCCCTTGCTGTGGGCAAAGACGAAATCCAGACTTTAAAACTTTTAAAAGTTAGATAGGTTCTTTGAAGAGGAGTCAAAGGAGCAATTTAAAGAGACCTGGAGTGGTGTGTACCAGTGACTGCTATGGCGTCTCTGCACTGAGTGTGTGTATATGTGTGTATCAAACTGCCAGCCAGACATGTGCAAACACACACACACACACACTCCAATAGTTGCTTCTGTACCTGTCTTTGCTTCTTTTTTTTTCCCTTTTTTATTTCAGCAGGGTGAATTTTTATCTAAATGCAAAGCAGGTGATAGGTGCTCCAGTTTCCTCTAGAAGTAGCTCCCTTGTCTGGGCTCTCTTCCTGATAAGAGTCCTACTTTGCCTGACATAAAAGAGCTTGGTATCATTTCCCCTGCCTCCCCAACAACCCTCAGCTCGCTGCCCTCGCCCTTCCCCGAGCTTCACAAAGCTGCCTCTATTTGCTCCCAATTCAGGGCCCAATTGCAGATAAAGTTACAGCAAATTTGTTTGGAGGAAGAGCTGCTGAGGCCTGCGGTCCCTGGGGCAATAACAGCCTTGTCTTGCAGGGGCCGTGGGGAGAGCTGGCAGCAGCGGGAGAACAGAACCCAACACCGCTCAGCCCCACAATGGCCTCGACTCTCCGGGAGGGAAGGCAAAGGGAGGGGAGGGGAGGGGAGAGAGAGAGAGATAAAGAGGGGCAGGAATGGATGGATGGATAGAAGGGAGGGACACTCAGCTTGCAGGTGTGGAGAAAGGAAGCAGACGCTTAACCTCGAGACAGGGAGACGGAGAGACACTAAGACTCAACCACACACACACACACAGACACACACACGCTTACACACACACACATACACACGCTTACACACACACACATACACACGCACACACCACCCATCATGCAGGACAGGAGGTAACTCCAGTCCCGTCCATTGTGCCAACGCCTCAGGCAAAGCTGCCACGGTGGCTGATTCACTGTCGGGATGGGTGGGTGACATGTGCAAGGGTGTGAGAGAGAGAGAGAGAGAGAGAGAGAGAGAAAGGATGCATGTGAGACTATGAGATATCTGTCTTTCTCTCACATGCACACAAAACACACACGACATACACACTAATCACAGCTGGTACTAATGGGCGGCTGGCATTGCAGAACTGGGCAGAAGGAGAGTAAGGAACCATGAAGAAAATTTTGAGTGCGTTTGTGGAGGGAATGTTGTGAAGTGACACGGTACGACAACTGCATTGTCCTATAGAGTTCACAATAACCCACAAATATATGAACACACTTAAACCCCCCCCCCCGGCTTACTTAGCAGTTAAAAAGTGCACACATTTGTAAGTTTATAGCTTGAATTACCCACAACTCCACCTCTGTAGCAACAGCCACGTCGGAAAGTTAAGTGAAACATCTGTGTAGAAAGACAGCCAGACAGAAACACACGTGAACATGTGAACAGACACACATGCCCATAATCACACACAGCCGTACAACTTCATGAACGCACCACCTTGGCCAGATGGCCCCCCATAAAAACCCACTTAAAGAGATGAGCGAAGTGATTAAGAGGCCTCTCAAAGTGAGGGAGAAATGAGAGAAGGATGAAGAAATGGAAGGGAAGGGAGGGAGGGAGTACCTGTGTAGAGAGGGGCCCTAAATACTCTGATGCTTTTAGCTAAGTGCATACTCCTACCATAACAGACTCCCAAAAGAGCGAGACAAGGGGGGGGGGCACAATGACACCTAAATTTCAGACTTTGTATAAACTATAAAACGCTATGTCCTTGGCCTAGATACATCCTTTATCGTCATCTGAATACTTTGAATTTAAGTGAGTACAATGAGGATATGAATAGTTGGCACTGTTACTCAGAAATGGATGTACTGTAAGCTGTGTTTTCAAAAAGGGTGAAGAGCTATACAAGGCATGCACGCGTGTGTGTTTGTGTGCTGACATGGAGGCTGCACTATCCAAGGCTGCATCCTCCATTCACCACGTAGACTGGCAATTCTGAAGTGACCTTGTTTTGAGCGAATTCCTCGACATTTTTTTTTTTTTTTTTTGTCTGACATTTTCATTTATTTCTAAAAGATAAGACATGAGGGCTTGTGCCTAGTTCAGTCTTACAAGAGAGAAAATGCAAACGTACATGCATGAGCCAGGCTCGCGCACACAGAGGGAAAATGTTAACTGATCAATACTATGTCTCTTCTGACCCATGTCTTGTGATGACACTGTGACCCGCTGTACAAACACACACATACACACATGCATCCCCTGCAGAGATGAAACTGGTGTCAGACAGCCAAATGCTGCTAATGCCTAATGTCTGCTGTGGAGACACTTAGTGCTCCCATGGTAAAGGGCTGGGGCGGGGCGGGTCCACCTGTCCTGTAGCTACTTAAGTCAGGACACTAAACCAGACAGGATTAAATGCCTGCTCTGTCATCTTTAGGGTAGGAACCTATATGCAGCCACTCACTGCCCTGCAGGAGAATGTCTTTTACTGATAGCTCTGCTGTCCAATTACACTTCACCTTTTAATACCAGACACAGATGACAGGGGAGAGAGAGAGGGTGGAGAGAGAGAGGATGAAGAGGAGGCTGATGGGAGAGGCTGCCATTTCCACTGTCTGCAGCAACAGCTTGTCACACTTCAATAGATTATAGTTGCATCTTCTAAGTTTTCTAAGACGTCTGAGGGTCTCATTTAAGATGGGGTATAAGCCGTAACACCAACTCTCTACTCATTCCCAGCAACAAAACAGAAATTTGCAAAGTATTTACCAAGTGTGCTTGTACATTTAATGCAAAGCCAGAAAAAGAAGTTAATCGAGACTATCATATCAAGATATTTGAGTGTGTGAGTAACAGTAACAGTGGGAGGTTACTTTGGGGGAATGTACTTAACTGTGCTTGAGACATCAACACTCTCTCGTGTTTGAGTGTGCAATTACCAGTGAGAGATCCGTACTTTGTTAGCAGAAATGGTCCTACAGCCTCTCTGTCACTCTTTTTCTCTCTCTGTGTGTGTGTGTGTGTGTGTGTGTGTGTGTGTGTGTGTGTGTGTGTGTGTTAAAACCTCCATAAAATGTGTGATCAGTTACATGACTATTGTTTGTCAGTATATGCAGAGTAGTACTGATAAATCAACATGAGTGGAGTTCATTTCATTTCAAAAAGTGTGAAGTAATTTTTCTACGCCAAAAAGTAAGCTCAACTACATTTAGGTACATTTCTGAGATTGTTAATAACAATTCTAATAATACGGCATAATCAATTACTTTATTACTGCAATAAAGTAATCGTTCTTCATGTCTGGTGAATGTGCAAATTTTTAAATGATATGCTACAATTTATGGTACTGTATATGTAAATGCACCTCTACATACCACAAAAGCACAGATGCTCCTCTGTGGAGAGTCCCATTCGAAGCAGCTGTTGATGTAGCAGCCTGTGTTGATAAGGAACATGATGCAGCGCCTAACTCGGTTGAAGTTGCGCAACAGCAGCTGGAAAGGAGACAAAGACAAACAAGTGAATGTTTTGTTCAAGGTTTAATGTGTTATAGCAAGAAAAAAAAGCCTGATGGTATATACAGTACGTAAACATCTGGGCAGTGTGTAAAAAAAGACTTAATAATGTACTGTTATCATATATAAATATATAATATAAATATGCAGGTAACTGTTGGGACGTGACATGAGAGGTAGCTGGGTATCATTTAAAACTAACACTAAAACATATCAGGGTCTGACCTCTCCACATTTGCTGCACATATATAATGTTTGGAAAGTCTTATTAAAAGACAAAGTAAAACAGGAGCAAAGTGATGGGACTACAAACATAAGCAGAGCTACCCTGGTCCCTCTGATCTAGAAGTTTGTGAGAAGATAATGTTAAAGAGTTCACTTCTCTCTCCTTTATGTTTAGTTAAGATGTGAATTCATCACAATTTAGTAAGTAAATATGTTACATCTCATAATTAGTACCTTCACATTCTGTCAGTAACTCTTATTATGGTTGGTTCAAAACCTGAGTGTCTCCTTCTGCGGTTTCTTTGTAAAGTTAACTGGAGCATTTACAAGTTACAACTTGAAATTTACCTCACTTCTCTTCAATATTACAGCACTGAAAATACCATGAAGACTTTATTGTGTTACCTTCTTTGGATAGCTCTACATGCATGTGGATCAACATAAAGGACAAATGGCTGCTTTAAGTGTGACAAGCTGACTCACAATGTTTCTTTAAAGTGTACTCTCCCAATGATAAAGTTAAGTACAATAATAACAATTTCCAACACAGTCCCTGGATTCTCCTCCCTGAGGGTTATCCAGGCATTTGGCCAGAGATGAGAGAGAACTGGCTAACTGCTGTCCTCCCCCTGGGCTGCCAACCATTCAGGGAATAGCATAACAGCAGCGCAGTACGCCAGCCACCCAATCAGGTCACCACCAGGAGAAAGTGCTCCCAAAGGACAAACTGTCTCTGCAGATCGCTGTTCAAAAAATTCTAGGCCATTATTTTACTCTTTGGAAAATTATGTGTGTGTTTGAATGTGCGTGTACTGTGGGTATGCAGCATATGTTCGTAGCACTACAGTGAACTCCATTGTCTGTATGTATGCGTTTCCGGATAGATTTGCATGTGGCTAGGGGTGGCTTGGCTGCTTTGATGCTAGATGAGAGGAAGATTCCTCCCTCTCTATGTATAATTATGTGAAGCTTTTTGTTGCCAAACTGAGGATGACTGTATGGTGTCCTGCTGGGGACACAGAGACCCTGAGGACTGCAAGACTGTGAATCATCCATTTCAACGTTCCTCAGCGCATGCACTTGATGTACACGCTGTACTCTTCTTGGCTCATTATTGCCATAACTGCCTTGATAAGAATATTTCATTTTTAATGAATTATTTCAAAGAGTGCCTTGAGTTATTCCTTAAAAACACTTAGAAAAGTAGTGAAGCCATTTATTAAGTCAAATGTCATAATTGCAATTAAATGCTTGTGTTTGGCAGGCAGCTTATATATTATTTTTTCTTTACTGTGTGTGTGTGTGTGTGTGTGTGTGTGTGTGTGTGTGCGTGCGTGCGTGCGTGCGTGCGTGTGTGCGCGCGCGTGTGTGCATGCGCGCGCGTGCGTGTGTCTGCACACTAAGCAGCAAGCAACAGCAGGGGAGCTGCTAGCACACAAAAGAGCCCTCATGGGGCAATCCCTCCAAAGCAGCCAGTGACATCATCATTGCGAGACGTTGACATGGGTCATCTCTGTGAGTCAGAGGTGAAATGGAGATGAAAAAAGGATTCTGCACTTGGGAGAAAGGCGTAGAGTGGGCTGCGACAGTGAGACAGAGAGCAACAGAAGAGGCAGAAACAGTGAGGAAAGAAGGGAATAGATGGAGGGCTGAAAAAAGGGTGGTATGGGAGCTGGTGTATGTGTTGTGCTGTGCTGGGCACGGCTGTGCTCGGCTGTGCATGCAGCATTGACTGCTGAGCCCAAACGGTCACTCATATGACATGTCTGATGTGGGCCAGCCCCTACTATTCAGCCCTTTGTGGTGCCGCCACACTGAGTGGCGTGACAATGAAGTGCAAAGCAGCAGTGGCAAAGAGGGCCAACTATAAGGATGGCCAATCTACTTATGCACCCCACAGCTGACAGCTTGACATTTCTATTCACCACTCAGAGTGGATGCGAGGGGGGGGGGGGGAGAGAAGGGAGAGAAGAGGGGAGGAAAAAAAAAGAAACGAAATGCTGTTTTTCCTTCAATCATCCTGTTATATCTTGCCCACACAGTTGTTGTGCTTTGCAAGATGCCGCTCTCCAGGCCTGTTGGTTTTGCTTCAGACAGTTAAGCAGAATAGCTCGTACAGTGGTGGACATAGATAAAAATGAGGCGGAGTAGTAGAAGATAAGTGTTGGCTGCTGATGTACCTGTTTGGACACTCTGGGCTCCTCCTCGATATACTTCTGCTCGATGGGAATCAACGTCCTGAGACCAGCCTTCACCTGGAGCATGGAGTGAACACAGACAGTGTCATAAACAGCAAATGGTGAGACTGAAATGACACTCATTTAAAAGGATCCAGATAAGTAAAATGATAGAGATGAGGATGATGAATTAGCGAGGGACTGTATTTGGATCGTTTTGATGGGTTTTTCTGATACATTGTGTGCTGATAACATGGCAACACATGCGTAGAGCGTGCCCCATGTCAGAGGCTAGAGAGAGCAAGAGAGAAAGCTGTAAGATGGCCGCTATAGGACACACACAGTGATGGTGAACGGGGGAACAAAGGCTGCTGAGAGGGAGTCTTCGATAATTAAAGCCAAAACGAGGACGAGGGACGAGGGATGAGATGGAAGCAAGGGGGGGGGGGGGGACAAACAGATAAGGACAACAGCAGGCAGAGGGGGGAATGTGTTGAGGAGAACAAGAGATGATGGAGAGAGAGAGAGAGAGAGAGAGGATAATGGGGGTGGAGGGCAAAATAAAAAAAAAATCAGGGAAGAGAATCAAAAAAGCAAAAGAAAGACTTACAGCATTAAAAATCACGTCTATTTCGAGAAAGATGACCCCTTTTGTTGGCCCTGTCAGCTCCTTGCTTTTCAAGGCGTAGGCTTTGCGTTCTCCATTTTGGATCTGTGGGAGAGGGACATGACAGGCGTCTGTCTGGCAATACCCGGCTGAATCGGCTCCCCGGGCCACCTTTGAACCCCAGCTGCTGGCGCTGACAGGGAACCCAAAACAACTGTGGCAACTCTGACAAGTACCTGTTCATTACCCACTGCAGCTAGGCTCTGTCAAACAGAAATTAACTATCCTGGGGAATCATACTGTACAGCAGAGCATGGGTATATTAGATACACAGTTCTTTCACAGGCTATCTATATTTTTTCAAATATAAGAGACACTCATTCTTTCTTTTTTCTCCAAATCGGATCGTTCCATCTCTCGATCAGTGTCATTTTCATATCATCTTTCATCCCCTCACTTTCTTTCTTCTCACCTATCACTCTCTTCTTTTTTCTCAGCCTCTCTTCCATTTTTTCCTCCTTCCTGTCATCTCTTTCTCTTTGTGAAATAATAACAGTCTCATCTGTGGAGTTGCAAAAATAACCTCTGCTTTTTATATCTTCCACTGTGTGTTTTCATTCTTTCTGTTCCTCTATGTTCTCCACATTATCCCCAAGGGAAAAGAAAAAGAAACACACACACTGAAATCTATCTTTGACTCACATTTAGTAAAGGAATAGCCACTTTCCCCAGGAAATCTGCGCTTCTGTCTCGGTCCTCGTCGTAAACAGTGACCTCGAGAACCGAGTGGATGTCCTTCACGTTACTAGACCACACACAAAGACAACACCACTGACATATATACTAAAATATGGGCTACCGTGCTAAAGCTGTCACATCTTGCACAAGCTTCTTTAAATATTAAAGACGCACAGAAAACAGTTTAAAATCTGAAACACTATATGAGGCATTACAAATGCCTCATATTTGAAAACGCTCTTTTGCATTTGCATAAATGTTTAAAAATCATATTAACATGCCTTATGTGTATTGCACTACATTACTGCATGAGCTAAGTAGAACTAAAGTGTGAAGCTCAGACGTGTCATCTCTTGAAAACTAGGCTAGCAAGAAGATGGCTGATGTTATGTATAGAAAGGAGGCTATGAGAAAGACGTGCACTCAAAGAATGACTAAATTAACCCGTCCCATCACTGGGAATTCACAAGTTTGTACTGTGGAAAAAACTGCATCATGTAAGATATTATGTAGAATTAGTTCTGCATTAACATTTAACTATAGCTACAGCACAACTATATATTTGAAAAGAAACTGATGTTTGAATAAGGAAAAATGATAATTCTTCTTTTTGACTTATACTAATATCTTACCCTGGATTTTATTGTTGGCATACAACACATTTTCAAACACTATTAAAGTTCAAAGTTCAATAATAAACAAAGCATTCCACACTATAAACTGTGATCAATCTATTTTTTTTTCAATGCTCAGATCAGTCCAGAATTAATCTTATAAAACACAAATAAACTGTTAAAAGCTATAAATTAAAAAAAAATCTATTATATTTCATTTTATAGTAAGACTGCTGCTCTGACCATACTAGTCTTTAATTCAAAGATACATGTCAATTTAAAAAATCTATTTTTATTTCCATTAATGTATTAAATACAGACTGTATGTGTCTGTCTGCATGCACAGACATATATTGAGCCACTCACAAAGTGAAGACCTTGTTCCACTCTGGGTTGAGGTTTTTGTAGACGGTGTGAGTCTGCAGCCGATCGTTACTCAGCTCCACCACACAGAACGGGTCACTCTTACCTGCCGAGCAAAAATACAAGAATGACCTTCTTAGTGAAAAGAGTAACATAAATACAGTAGATACTAAAGTTCTGTTAGCTTGAGACTGAGAATCATAAGTAATTCCAACAGCTTTTGTCTATCTCCAATCCTCCAATCCCTCATATTATTAAGACAGATAGTATATAGCATCCTCCTCTTATACCACATGACAGCTCCAATACCCCGGACTTATCAGAACTGCAATAATAAGATTCTTTCATTTTTAGCCCCAATGCCGTATATATTATACAACAGTATATCAGTGGAACAGCTGCGAGCCGTTTCTATCAACACCCTGGGAACATGGACAACTAGAAGATAAGCTCCAGGACAACTCTGCCCTGGGCAGTCACAAGGAGGGGGTGGGAGAGGGAAAAGAGAAAGAAGACTTTGAGAATGGATGGTGCTGAGAACACAGAGGGCGATGCGGCTCTGAAGGCCAGAGAAGTTCAGAGTAGAAGATAAAGACGGCTGAGCAGGGGTGTGAGAAACGTAGCTGACCCACGATTAGCGATTCCAAAGCGAGCGCTGAGACGGTAGCGGCAGCAACATGAAGAATGACAGAGAGAACATTATCTCATCATCATTTCGGCAGTGAAAGTTTTTGGGTAGTAATACTGAAATGTTACTCTTGTGTTTATTACAAGATAAATACCAGTTTCATTAATATAACACAAGCAATATTTTACAGTGATTATATCGAAACAAGTGATCCTACAGAATAAATTATTTTACAAACTGAAGGATCACATATAAAATAATTTGAGTGGCCTGTCGCTGCCAAAGGATAAAACTTTAATACACTATGTGAGAACTTTAAAGACCCTTAGATGTTATAAAACATTGATATGATATATGGTTCACCATAAATCATATTCATTAATGCTAATTCATTCCAACAAAACTTTCAATTGAGAATTTACTACGGTTATGTAACTCAGTAGAAAGAGAGTGAGAGAGACCGGGATGAGAAGAAAAAAGAAAAAAAAAAAATCACAAAGTTATTTCGCCCTCCTGAGAATAGCGTACAGTACTATGTCCTATATATTCTCCATTTATTTACCAACATCTCACATTTCAATTTCTTTGTACACAGAAAGGACTGAGACCAGCTCCCCATGCCTGCCAGCCCACCTCCCCTTCAATTGCCTCAAAATGAACTAAAAACAACAAAACTCTTAATTCAGCCTTTGATCATTTTTTTTTTTTTTAACTAAAACTGTTGGGAGTCTTTGAGCTGTTTGTTCAAGATTATCACTTGAAAAGGCTGGGTCAGGATGTTTAAAAAAAAAAAAAATGTCCTACACGAATTCCCAGGGAAAATATTGAAATGTTATTCAAGTCGCACTGTTGCATAAAAAGACTCGATAAAGTTGTGATTGAGTTCAAAGACCCCAGTCACATTTGTGTATATGCTGGTATGTGTCCGTGTCCGCGTGTGTGTGTGTGTGTGTGTGTGTGTCATGGGAAGTACGTGTGTGCAAGTGTCATCGATTGGTGTGATTTTCTTCAAATGCTGTGACAAGGGCAGGACATTTAGTGGGTGTGCAAAGTAAATGTCACCGTGATCAATGCTGAGCCGTAGGTGTTGCCTTTCATATCTGTTTGTGACGCTCTATTGATGTAGAGTGTTTGAAGTGGATATTGACAGCTATGACTCCTACGACAGAAAACAAGATACATTAAAATAGACAAAACACAAGAGCCTACTTCTCAGTGGATCTCTGTAAACACACTTTGTTAGCAATATAAATTGTCTGCATTGCACATGAACCGTGTATTGTATTACAGTGCAAACCTTTCCTTAGATAAATTATAAATACACACAAAAATGTATTTCAAAATTGTAAACAAGTAAAAACAATATTTTGCCAGCAGTTTTCATTCTGAATTTTTACAGTAGTGAAAATTTCAAATCCTCCTTAATCATCCCGGCACTTCCATAGCATAAACAAATCAGGTCTGATTAAATTTAAATGCAATCACCCAAATTAAGACATGGAAATTATCTCTGCAGAACCCTGTCCCTCCCCCATTTTCTCTCTAATATTCTGCTTTTAATGACATGGCAGGCTGCGTTGCTGCAGAGAGCCAGTTGTCATTGGTGATGAACTTTCACCTTATTGGCCAACAGCACCAGAGGCAGCTGTCTTAACCAATTACACGCTCAGGTTTGAGCGCCACTCAGCGATCATCCAGGTAATGTCCGAGCAAAGCTCCTCCCCCCTCTGGGTCCTGTTTCTGTGGCGCTGGCTGAGGGTCTGCAGCGAGGAGAGCGCTCAAACTCATTTCAGGGTGCCCTAAGATAAGTGTGGAGGATGAATACAGTACGGAGACGAGGGTACATGCTGTAATTGCCTCGCAGGAAGCTTAGCGTTAGTGAGGGGTGAGGTTAGAGAGGGAATGCTCGCTCTCATGTTCCTGTATAATCACAATTAATTATTATTCACACTTTAAAATGTAAATCAATTGCATTTTTGTTGCACTTCTTCTTTCATTTCTTTGTCACTTTTAAGGCTATATAATATAATCTACAGTATTTCCCCATGTGCCAATTGAAAATTTATACTTTACTTGCAGTTGACTGAAAAAGAGTCTACGCATTCTGTGGTGCTGCTGCTGGACGTGAATGTGTGTGTATGCGTATGTGTGCATGTGCATGTGCGTGTGTGTTCCACTGAAATGTTCTAACAGTATAGCATCCACTCAGAGGGACAAGAGCTGGCAGACAAAAGGGATTGTTGGTTTTAGAGACTATTTTCAGTTATCCTACTCGGGCTGGAGAGGAGCTACTCCACAAAAACACTTCAATTAGAGAGAGAGATGGGCAGAAAGGAGAGGGGGAGGGAGGGAGGGAGAGGGAGAGAGAGAGAGAGAGAGAGAGAGAGAGAGAGAGAGAGAGAGAGAAAGAGGGGGACAGAGAGAGAGGGAGGAGGAGGAGAAAGGACAGGAGAGGAGACAGGCAGCATGAATGAGAGAGATGGTAAACTCTCTCTCTCTCTCACTGACCTCTTCTCCCTTTCTCTCTCCCTGTGTCTGTTTGTCTGTCCGCCTGTTTCTCTCTCACCTTGCTCCTGACCCTCTCTTGGTCTGGGATGTTAAAATAGGGTGTTCATGCGGTGAGGGCTCTTATGTGGCTCTTAATGGGCTATTGTTTCTGCCAGTGACACACACGCAAGCACGCACGCACGCACGCACACACACACACACACACACACACACACACACACACACACACACACACACACACAGTCAGACTCCAAACAGGGATAAGTCATCTAGAAACAGCTCCTTTGCCTGTCTGTTATCTGTATCAATTTACTTACAGTATCTGTCTGTGAAGGGTTCGACTGACTGAAAAAATATTTTCTGGGGAACAAAAGTAAAATATTTGCTTTGTGTCTGTAAGAACAGGTGAATTGGACTGTCTAAATTTGAGATCTCTTTGGCTGTAACAAAAATGTTACTTGTGTAAATCCACATGTGAAACCAAAGGAAATGTTTCTTATGTTAAAATACCTTCTTGTATATACCGGTACTGTCTTTTAGCATGGGAAATCCAAGTTTTCCATGTAAACCACATTTGGCAGGCAATGCAGGCATTTCAGTAAAAACCTATTCTTTATCTAATTAAAAATGGCCCTGTGTCATGATGTCAAAAACTAATGCAAATGCTCCATTATAAAAACCCACACTGAGTCGTAAAAAAAAAAAAAAAGCTTTGTTTGTTGTGGGTTTTCAAATCCCAGTTCAACACTTTTTTCGAATTGTCTCGTACCACGGGACATACTGCACTTGTGAAGTGAACCTGTGGCAAAAATTTCAAATCACCACAGGCTGTAAAAGACACTGTTCTGAAAATCATACACGTTCTCTATGACCATGTCGAGTCAGCAGAGACAAAGTAAAAAGCAAACAAACAGCTGACAATATATTTCCACAGTTTTAGTCTTGATTTTATTTTTTTTTTTACAAGGATCCATGAAGCTCAGACTGAATGATGAGCTCTACAACGAGGTCATGGAGCAAATTTCTGCTCCGAATGAAATACAAGAGCCATTAGCCCTGCACTCCGGTCGCTCCGGTCGCTCCACGCAATAACCCAAATCAACCAGCTCCACTCTGTGTTGGCTAATGGGACTGTGGCTGCTTCAAATGGAGAAAAACTCTCACTCTCCCTCTCTCCCTCTCTCTCTCTCACAGACACACATACAGAGACACACACATTTCCTTCTCTCTCTACTAGATAATACAGAGTGAAAAACTAGGCCTGTCCACTGTAGACCTAATTAAAAGTAAGAATTAATGGAGAATGGAGGATTCAGAGAGAGCAAGCAGAGAAAGAACGGGAGGAGAGAGGAGGAGGGAGAGAGATTTGTTGGTTCAAATGTGTACTTTTTCTCTATTATTCAAATGAGAAGCCTGCATCTTTTCTAAAAATGCAGAGACAAATTTAGTGTCCTGCACAAAGTAGACTTTAACTCTCTCTCTGAGGATTCTCCCAGACGATCATCCCTTAAACCAAAATTACACCCTGACTTTATCTTTGGCTAGATTTATGGCAGATTGCTGGTGGACAAAAAATAGCTCAATGTCTAGATCCAAAACTTAGGCAAAAGTTATTAAAGCAGAAAATAGCATCACCTATCAGATGTTCAAGTAGTGTTCACTCTGATAGAAAATGCAAAACAACAGCAAAAACTGAGGCTTATTTGTCATATTATTTTAAGTGAATGAGTAATAGGAGCATGAATACAAGGATGAAAAATTAAGACGCTAACTTCTGACAATGCGTATGAGAACTACAGAGGTCATACTCCTGTTGTTTGGACTTAAGGTCACTGTCTTACCTGTGACATCTGCTGCCATCAGTCCCTCAGCCCTGATGACCTTTACCTGCACCACACCGACATCTTTCAGGTTGTGAAATGACCTCCATAGGCTCTGAAACATCACAGGAACAGGGGTGAAAGGTCAAACAGGACTGCAAATTAGCATTGAAAGGAAAGACAGGTCTATAGCCTGACATTTCATTAAGAGAGGAAAGGGTAGAATATGTCCTTTACCAGTCCTAATTTAAAAATGTAGAGCTGGCATTTATAGTCGAATCTAACGGGGGACAAATGGCCAAATTTTATTTCACTGAATAGTTGTTCTTGCCTGTTTGAAATGTTTCCTAACTTTGTACTTTTTAGATAAAATGTAACTTCACTGATTTTGGAACAGAAGATGAGCCATGCAGAAATATATTAAAGGTTACTGAAAATAACAACAGTACACAGATAAATGCACAACAAAGACAGGTCATTAAAGAAAACATTATAATATGTTAAGCAGATAAAATAAAACAGATCTCAGTACTGTAGTTATTCCTAATCAATCAGAAAACTAAATGGAGATAAGAATGCACAAAAACTGTCTTGTAAACTACACACTGCCCACTGTTACATTGAGAGTGAGGGTTTTTGTGCTTTTCCATTAACTTGTCAACTCAAAATAAATAAGTCACATCATCATTTACAGGAGGAAACTGTTTTAGTGGAGTTCTGCTTTGTATAATGACCATGAGGAGAGCAACAAAACAAACAAAATGCAGTGAATGCAGTTTTAACAAATTGCTACAATTTTGATGTATGTTATTAAATTAATACTCAAATTGTTTTTTTGTTTTTTTTTTGTCTTGTTTTTTTTTTTAAACCAAAAGCTGATTCAGTTCCTGGTGCACACTGTCAGTCTGGAAAAGATTTCACTGAAAATCCTGGCTGGTATTTACTTTTCTACTGTCACTCCACAAATCCATTCCTTGCAATGTTGTGTGTAAGAAAAAGAGGTGTTAAGAGGGCGTGTGAATAGCAGTGTGAGTATCAGCAGAAGAATAAAGTGAAAAGTGAAATATAGGCAATTTGAAATAAGAAAATTCTTACAACAATCAAAAATCTCTGTACATGCAATATACAGTATAACAAAATGGGAATATGAGGAAAAATATGAAGAAAAAAATGTGCAAGAAATTACAGCACATAAGCATTATTTGCTCCCGATGTGATCTTACTGATATAAATGTGTCTGTGTTTGCTTTGTAGAGAGACGGAGAGAGAGTATTAGGCTGATAATGTGATAATAGAGGTATTGTAGTGAGTAGACACATCCAGTGAAGCGTGACTGGCAGAGATATCATAGTTATGAGGCAAACACACACACTGACCTCTACACACACTATCCAGTATAAACAACATCCAAACACAAAAGAAGGGGGGGGGGTCACACTAAGATTTATGGTAAATAAACACATCAACTGTAAAACAAGAACAGCCAGTCACACAAGCTTACTCACAAATACTGTTCATATTCCCACTTGACGTTTTTCTCCTCTTGCGTGCTTACACACCATAAACACACATTTACATACACAGCCAGGAGTTGCCATGAGGCCCTGGGATTGTCTAAAATGAGAAGGGGAAACACTGTGTGCACAAGGTTTTAATAACCAGGAGAAAGAGGAATGACTGTGTAAAAACTAGTTTGTAAATCTGACGTCTAAAGGGAAACCTGTGGAGATCTGGGCCATGAGGCACGGGCACACACTGACACAACACACACACACACACACACACACAATCATAAACTCATGCTTTTGTTCACACCCAAATACTCAGGTATAAACACATGCATAAAAAACCTACACTGAGGCCAAATTGAGTAGCATGTCGGCGTGTCTTAAAAGCAGAGTGGAAATGCACTTCACTTCAATTTATTTCTCTCTCTCTGGCAATAACCCCTTCCATCCCCACAGGAGTAATTATAATTTAAATTTCAGAGTCAGGGCCAGGCTACAGACTTAATTCATTATTACCAACTCTGTCAGACTCTGCCTGTTTCCAGCGATATCATTGTCCAAAAGCTCTCTAAAGGAGATGAGAGGGGAGTGTGTGTGAAAGAAAGAGAGGGGGGAAAAAAAGAGTGTGCAAAAAAGAGACATACAGAGAGAGAGAGAGAGAGGGAGAGAGGGGACAACTCTCAATTTTAAGGCACGATTTCTCTGAAGATACAGCTGCTTGTTGTGATTATTGGGGAGAAGCCGAGAAAAGAGACAGAGGGAGAGAAAGAGTCAGAGAGAGGGCATGAAGGAGGCAACAGAAAAGGAGATGAGGGCAAAACTACTGGCTGACTAGTTAGAGTGTTAGTGTTCAACAGTTGAACACATCATGATGCTGATAACTCAGCTGTAAGGGCTGTACAATACTTTCTTGGTACGGACCGAATTGTGTTTGTAGCAATGTGTATCAAACACTGTAGCAAAAGCTGGCTTCAAATGTCTGGTCAGATTGATAATCTTGATAACTTATTATTGAATCTGATATTTATCTACATGCCTCATAATTAAACCAACTTAGACTGTGTTTAACCGGTCACATTTGTGATATTTTATCAGACAGTTATTACTATATTTTGTTTGGGCAAACTTCTGTAGCTGCTTGCGCTTAGACATTGAACATTGGAAATGTTTGGATTTTTTGTTAAATGGAAAATGAGCTTTTTTTTAATAAGAAAACATGTTTGTATTCCCTAAAGTTCATGATCAAAAAATGTAAATTTTAGTACTCTATCAAAACTCTCATGTCGCATCAGCACTAGTATTGTAGAATTACCACACTAAAGATAGACAAAAATGGCACAGAGTTCAAACAAAGAAAATGAGACAAAATTACTCCTTTAATATATAGATGCAGAGATATTTTTTCATCCCCCAACCAATTCCCCACTCTTCATCCCTTCCTCCTCCCACCATACAGTCTCCCTGAGGGGACATTTAGGGTTCAGTCTCAATCCATGATTGGTGCAGAGTATAAACCCACCCTCCACAAGGATTCAAATCCCCATCAGAAATATAGACAGCAATAGATGGACTGGACAGACAGACAGACAGGTAGAGAGAAAGAGAGATGAGGAGAGGCCAAGACCAACCCCTCCCCCTCATTTATGCCTCCACACACCCCCATCAGCATGCCGTGGAATGATGGGCATAAGGAGATGAAAAGGAGGGATGAACAGAGAGGAGAAGAGAAAAAACGGAGGGACAGAGTTGGCTTTCATAAGACAACCCCCCCTCCCTGTCTGTGACTGACATCTTGTCACTGTGACATCTTCTTCCTGTCTCTGTGACACTGCACAGACACACAAATGAATCAACACTGGTATAGCCTTATGACTCACTGTCATCTTTGCATCATGTCACCTTTCATCAACACTGCAAATAACAATTTCACACAAAGACAAAGACACACACGCACACGCACACACACACACGCACGCACACGCACGCACACGCACGCACACACAGAGCATCTGTTTAGCAGCCGTTCAGTTCAGGGGACATTTGATCAAATGACTGAACGCTCAAACACAAACCAAATGCACAACTTCCTCCGACTCCCACTCCTGTTCATCAGCTCAGGATCACTATCTATCAAGAGTCTCTCTCAAAGTTTGCTCTCTGCCCATCCCACACTTTACTGCAGCCCCTTATCGCACTTCCTGTCCAGGTTGTGTCTTTTCACTTCACCTTAGAGCAGTGCAATGGAGTGGGTAGGAGAGGTACTGAAGGTGTGAGTGTGTGTGTGCTATACAGTACACGGGGGTGGGTGGTGAAGTGCCACCACTTCAGTGGAGGTCACCACGTCCTCCTTCTCTCATCCACTCATCTTGCGGCCACCTCAGGCCCATTAAGAGCCATTAGTGTGTGTGCCCCTTTTGCCATCATAATGCATAAATCTCTTCTTCTCCTTCTCCCTCTGTCCCTCTCTACTTCTGGGAAACAGTAATTAGGGATGAAGGAAAGGTTACGGTGAGCAGTAGTACATCTAAGGCAGTTGTCACTGAGTGAGTGTATTGCACTGTGTTGCATATAGCTCTGCTGCATTCAAAGTAGTTTGCAAGAGAAATTCATGTGTACTCATTCACACACATACATACATGCTGAACATGCAAGTGTACAGAGGAGACACAGAGACACAGACACAGACACACACACACAGACACACACACACACACACACACACACACACACACACACACACACACACACCACATGTGCAGAGAGAAAGCCACCATAACGCAGAACAGTGAGAATAAGAGACATTAATAAACTCTCAGCTCTATTATCCATTTTCGTCAATGGCCACAGATTGATATGGGCCAAGTACACCACAGACCTTATTCTGACCACATGAAGTGTGGTGTATTATTGGTGTTTGTGATTGTGACAAAGAGACAAGGACATTTCTAGGATTTAAAATCATTAATGTCCTCTTAGATATTCAGACTATTAAAGTGAGTGTGCATGTAGGTGTGTTTTTTTTTTTTTACAATAGTTAAAAGTAAAGTACTCATGTGTGTGTGTTTTCACGATGAGCAAGGTGGGCCATGTCACTGAAGGCTGGAATGAGCAGACGATTTCAATGGTCTTCTCTTCCTTAGCGTTGTTTGTGAAAGTATCTGCTATTTAAAGCTGTGATGATGATGATGGCATGGTACTGGTATTGCTCTGCCAACCCAATCTTTTTATTACATAGCTGACACAGGTAGGTCCTGTTTTTGCATCTGCATCTGTCTGTGTGTCTGTTTGTGATTAGCAGTAGTTGATGCTTTGTGCTGGACAGCTGATTTCGAGCTAATAATACTAAAAAAAAATTGCACCCGAGCACAACACACACACACACACACACACACACACACACAGATTAGTGGGCTTTGAGCAGCACTGTTACCACTGTGGTGGTACTCGGTCTTATCAGTGCTTTTTGATAAGGTACATCTTTATTGAATTCTCCAACTGAAAGACAGCCAGTCCGGGGAAAAGGAATATGTTAATAGGTAGAGACCATTCAAGTCTTCAAACCGACCTCACTGTGCCCCTCCATCTGCAAGCCCCCACCTTTCACCACCCTCTATCTCTCTCCATCCCTTCATCTAACAGGAGGGCCACAGTGGCGACAGAAAAAGAGTTGATGCTGACGAGAGAGCAGGACAGAGATGCCGAGTGTGGGAGAGAGAAGGAGGCAGGAAAAGAGGTAGGCGAAGGAAGGGAAATGTCTCGGCTTCAGCCGAGCAGAAAAACGGGGTCTGCACGAGTTGTGAGAGAGGTGAAATAGCTTTTTCTTTTCATTTTACACGCCTTCCCTTCCCGGTGCAACCCTCACCCTTTACCTCTCGCCCCCTATTACACACACACACACACACACACACACACACACACACACACACACACACACACACACACACACACAAACACTCATGCTCCCCGCCCTCATTTTGTGACTGTGAGGAGAAGCACAGCGTGTGCGTGTCTTGGACCTAGAGCTCCCCCCTCTGATCTTGGGTGGATGCTGCAGCGCGGAGCAGAGTGATCGACCTCCTGCAGCTAGCCACTAAGGCACCGACATAGTTATGTAGGTCGTGGTACCCGTGTTCGGCCTGTGGAGCCTCGCCATTGGTGCTTATGCACACACCGAAAGATGCAAAGCAGAACACATCCTATAGGCTCTCAAACACAAACAAACAGCTATTTACTGTACGTGAACACACGCACTGTGTACCCGCACATAAAAAACACACGTAATGTGGTACTCATGGGAAAATGTGCTCCAACAACGCTCCTAGACAATTCAACGATAATGATACGTTTTTTGTTATTAATTCTCAAATTAAACTGAAGACATTAAGTGAACAAATTTCACATTTCTATAAAAATAACTCAAATATGGCTGAGGAGTGATAACACCACATATCATTTTGTTGATGTGCAGAGAAATGTCCCATGTTAAAGCTGTCAGTGAAGGAAATCCATTGACAGTGTGTGTGTGTGTGTGTGTGAGCATGTGTGTGAGTTGTGTGTGAGTGTCTTTGTAGCAAGGAGTGAGGATGACAGGGTGTGAAGGGTTAACTAGGCTAAGACAAAGACATAAGCTGAAACCATTGTGTTGAGTGGAGGGCCTCTGGAGCAGATGGGGCCTTAGGGCTCTCTCTTTCTTTTTCTTTCTCTCTCCCTCTCTCTCTCTCTCTCTCTCTCTCTCTCTAATGCTAAGCTCAAATCAATGACAACTGGCTAACAAGCTAAGACATTTTACACTGAAATAAATAAACCCACATGCATTAATCATAAATTCACAATATGCACAAATCACTGCAGGACACTGATGCAAATACCACACAATTGTTGTGGTGTGAATCATAGCGACAGAGAAAAACCGGCCCCGCATCCTTTCCAAACAGTTAATCCAAACAACTCTGCCTGACAGACATATGATTTCTCGTCTCCCTCCTTGATCTCTATACCCCTGTGAATCTTCCTTCCTTTCCCTTTTGTGCATCTCCCACTCCTCTGCTCTTCACTTCTAACCTCAAATCCGAGCTGTAGCGTGGTGGATTTTATTTCAAACCTCAGCACATTAGCTTGTAGAACAAGAGGCTGTTCCTGATGAATAAGAGATTCTTCATAACAGTCTGACTCATGACGCCAAAGAAACAATACTTTGTCTTTGCAACTTGCACATGTCGACACACTGTCACACAGCAGTCAATCCAAGGGAAGAAACCACAGTATCAGGTAAATGGTCAATCAGTAATACAAAGCGAGACTGCATAAAATTTCATTCTAGCAGTGTGTATATGAGGACATGGATTTTTAGTTTTATGTACACAATACTTGTTATTGTTCCATTGTATTTACATGCTCTGTTATTTTCAGTGTTTTAATAACATTTTGTCTGTAAAAGTTCAGTGGACAACTCTAAAAGCTACAAAAAGGTCTGTCTAATGTTTAGATCCTTCAGTGGAGCCCTCACACGCTGCACACTTTCTTGTCAAAAGTATTCATACAACATAATCTCATCTTAAACTCTTACAATCAAACAAACTCACATATCTCTGCATGATCTGGTGTCTCTCATGCGGGTCGTCCAGCATGTTGATTGACAGGTCTGAGATAGAAACGGCAGCGGAGGCAGTGAGTGTAACCAGCAGCACAAGCACACCTTCGCCTTCCTCCAGTGGCAGGTCCAGCTTGTGTGTGTGTTCTTTACTGAGGAGCGACAGGTCGATGGTACACCTAAAGTGCACACACATGCACAAACAAATAGAAACAGAGTTAGAATATTGTGGGGAAGCTGACCATGCTGAAAAATAGGCTGTTAGTAAAAGATGAAGCTAAGTAAAGCTAGAGAGGGCAATAAAGGCTTAACTTAAAGAAATGCTAGTGTAGCTGTTTTGGGGGCTGAAGTTTGCAGGAAAATTGTCTGTGAAGTAATAATTATCAGCATCTGTAAAGTTAAACATATCCCACAGACAGAGATCTCTAATTTCCTTTTAGAAATAGAGTGTTTACTCCATTTCTGAGTTACAATTTAAGCATGTTGTCCTGGAGCATAGCAATAGCAACAACCTAATACACTAATAGTAAACACACAACAAGCATTGTGTGTAGAATATAAGCAAGTATGGACAACTTAACGAAAGCTGACAATTAAAACCTTTTAGTAGGCACTTGAGGGCACCTGAATTGATTTCCTGGCATGCCCTTGATATATCTCCGGTTAATATCAAGGCAGGCTAATATTGGACTTGGGTCAATGTGTTCAAAGCAAATGCTTCCTCAAGTGCCTCCATTCTGATGGAAGCTAGAAAAAAAATCCCATCTTCCACAGGGAATGGCTCAGTATTTACCCAGGGTTTAAATTTGCATAAGAATGCTGTACTCTGCAGAAATCTGTGCTGGATATTGAACAGGAGGTTGAAAAAAAGGTAAACGATTAAATCCACACAAATTACAGACATGGCCAATTTGGACTAAAATGATTAAAAACTGTCATTGTGCAACCTTTTTCTGTAAGACCTACTCTGTCTGTCAGGTCCCTAAAAGTTAATGATGTGGGACAGCTACATATCGAGAAAGAGTGATGAAGACCACTGTACCTTCCCATGAAGTCGTCCTTCTTGCCAGCATCTTTGTCCCAGACTGTGATGTCCACATAGCCTCCCTGCTCATCATACAGGTGGAAATCGAACTGTTCTCTCCACTGGGGGTTCAGCGTTTTGGGAATTGTCTGAGTAAACAACAGTAGCAAATGATACAGCTTTGCTACAGGTGATACAGCTAATAAAATATGGATTGTTCACAAATTATGTGAATTAAAAGTCATTAACTGTCACAGCATTAGAAGACAGACAAAGACAATAGACTGAATTCTGTAACAATCCACACAAAAATGTGATTCATGACATCTTCCTGCTAGACTGTAAGTAAAGTCAAGAAAGAAGAGATGAGAAAGGTAGAAGTGTATAAGTGATTAGAAATATTTATCGATTGTAGTTTTATTGTGGAAACAAGAACATCAATGGAGAACATCAACGGAGCAAGAACATCAATGGAGCAAATACTTTAACCAAAAATCTCTCATTTATAAAGACGTACAATGTGCCTCGATCTGTTTGGACCATTTAAGTTGTTTTGAGTAAGTACTAAGTACTGAATCTGTTCCATAAGACGTGCAAGGAGATCAAGTAAAGAAGCCAACTGAAAGTGCATAGTAAGTGCTAGATAGGCATGTTAGAGGTGTTTACCTTGCTTTTGTACTTCTGGTGCCCCATCCTGAATTTGACATAGGGGTCGCTGAGGCCGTTGGCGTCCATGGGCTGCAGGCCGCGACCTTCTATCAGACTGATGCTGACTATACCTCGCCACAGCTGGGCTTTTCTGTGCACATCTGACAGACGCATACTCTGATACTGCAGCAGGCACACGCACAGACACCAATACAGACACACACACACACATACATTCAAAAGAAACATTTACACAAACGTGCACAAACACCCACGATATACACACATACACAGACATATGCCTTAATTAACCCCACAATAGAATTATGGCTTGTGTGTTTTGTCAACAGGAAAATCACAAATACCAAACAGACAACACAGAGAGAAGCAGGCAAAACACAGAAGAAAACACTTGAACACAAAATGAAAGTAATCAGATATACCCCTGAGGTGTGAGCTAACCTGAGCAGAACATCACTACAGGTTATAAGCAAGGGTATCCCACTATTCTGTCAGTTACAGTGTGAAATCCTGAACAATTACTTGGGAATGCTGAGTAACATCATCACTGTTGGTGCAGTAAACACTGTTGGTTCCACATTAGTGGAAAATGAAGAACAGGTACAGTGACCTCTATCGACCCTTTCTGAGTGTTTACTGAGAATCTGCTGTACACAAAAAAAAAACTTACAGCCTGCACAACAATGTATATGTCACTGCATCAGTTTGGTCTTTTCTGTATACATTTTAAACTTATTAAATAATAAACAAAGGAGGCAAGTGATTTATAGGCTGTCTTATCCAAAATGGGCAGACCACTAAGGTGCTGTTACAGTGTACCTCTGTAAATTTCTTATTCCATCTGGCTGTGCTGTAAGTCGACAGCTCTGCAAATTCAGATTGATGATTATCCATATCTTAAGTCAGTTTTTTCCCCAATAGTTTTTTCAGCACTTACAGGCCTATTTAACCTCTCTTTGAATCATGTCAGTATCCTTCACTAAAACAAAGAGCAGGGTATTTATTTGTCAAACAAATACACCCCTCGCTCTCTCTCTCTGCCTTTCTCTCTCCTCCTTCCTCGTTAGGGAGAATTTATTAGCATAGCTTTTGTTTTGTGGGTGAATTTCATTAAACTCTGAACAAACCCTGCCTCGCAAGTGCAGGCCTTTGATCTGGAGACGGAGCCTCTTAATTTCCATTCTCCAGACATTAAACAATGCGAATGGCTCCCTGCAATACAGCCAACCTCCCATACAGCAACTCCCACATCTTTCATTTCTCCCGTTCACTTGCTCCTAACACGTTGTATGCTAATGATGAGAGGTCGCTGTTATGTCCTACTCAAGCACAATTCTAATTGTTTCCTTGTTTTGTTGCAACATATCTCTTGTTACAGAAAAACCATGGGCTATTTGGATTGGGAATCCACATCCTCTCTGCCAGAGCACAGCAGGAACGAGATCATGCACAGAGATGTTCGGAGGCTGAAAGTCTTATAAGAGATGCTAACGTTCAGTTTAAGAACTAATACAGCCTTGCACATGGTTCAACTTTTGTAAGCCCTTTGGAAGAAGAAAAATGTTTGAAGTGCCAAAATAAGCATTTTGCCTAGTGGTAAAAGTTAGAGAGACCTGAATTCAGTATGCCTCTGACTCATAATTATTATCTCAAACTACTTCTTGAGTAGTTTGCATCTCCTACTGTGGGTTCAGCACTCACATATGCTTCATTAAAAAGAAGTGGTTGTGTAAAAATAACCGTGTACTGTATGCTGTCGAGCACGGAGGCAGGGAGGCACTCAGGAGCAGCGCCTTTTTTGGTGGGGTAGCACAGTAGCTAGTTAGTGTTTGAGCTAATTCCCGAGTCACAGGCGGGGTGGCCCAGTTTGGAGGCATCAAAGGCTCGGTTTGGGGAAGCACGATACAGCAGGACGTCTGCCCAGCTCCAACCAAGCACACTTCAAATGTGTATCTGTGTCTCTTGGTGGATATCAAACTTTTTACTGTTAGTTAAGAAATCAATCAGTGTCTCTAGGTACAATTTAGGAAATCAACTAAAAGTAAAACTGTGTTTCCAGATTTAGCTTGTTTCCTTCTCAATGACAACATAAAGATACCTAAGTATCTTTTTACAAGTGAAACATGAACAAACAAGGCTGCAAATAACCAAAATTGTCCCTGATACTTATATTGCTGTATTTGGCTAAAAATCATGGGAGGAACTTCATGCATGCGCAAATAAGAAGCAGAGCCTCAACCAGCATGCTTTCTTTTTGACCTGACAGCCAACAAGAATCACATAAAACAAAACCAAAAGGTAGCAATCTCTTATGTATGGCAAAATGGGAACTCAAAATAATGTGAACATCAAGGATTTCCCCTTGATGTAAAGGGGTCTAAGAGTGTCCTATAGTCAGTCAACAATCAACATACATTCTTATTTCACATGTGATTTGCTGTACAGGACTCCTTAAAAACCCCTAAAAACAAATCAATCGCTTTATTTTCTCACACAGTTGCTGCAATACACAATGCAGATCAAAGGTGGAAGAACCATGAACATACGGTATCATACTTGGACCTTCACTCTTATTAATGACTCACATCACTGTAAATGGCTCCACTGTTGCCCAGTTTGTTACTGGCAATGTTGTGGTGTAATGATTTCAAGAGCAACATTGTGGAATAGTATAGCTTTTAAATCAATAATTATTACTGATTTTCTCAAACTGAAATACTAAATGTTTCAAAACATATCCGATCCAAAAAGTTAAATAAAACAAAAAAACATCCCTTATAACAATGGCAGTACTTGTATGGCATTTCTTCCACCCTTGGTGTGTATTTATATGGCTTATAACTTGCCTTCACATATGCAGTTCACCTTTAGGCTGAACTTGCATTACAAAAAAAAGAGTTTACATCACCTCAGATGATGTAAAAAGCTGGTGGTATATTGCAGCTTGTGGAAAATAAGCTGGTGACGATGAAAACTAAAGAACTGATCAAGAAAGAAAAACTGCTAATACCACTGTGGTAGGAGAAAAAGGAGGGAGGAAGAGAGAGGGCCGGGAAGACTGCATCCAAGTACCAGGACACCAGTGAAGAGTGCAGGATAGGTGAGGTGAGGTGCGGTCGGTAGTGGGGTTACAGTACAGTTGGAAGTTTGTGAGTGGGGGGGTGGGGTTACATGCTGTTTTAGTTTACCTTACTAGATCGTTTCCAGTTCCTTCTCAAAAGCATGGTCTGTAAATGAGACAAAGCGGTTACAGAGCGCCCCCCACTGTCTCCCCCTTAAAGCTGCAGGGTCAGAGATTAAAGGGCATGGGGTGTATGTATGTTAGCCCTGGTCTGGTGCAGGGGGGGTTAGATGAGGAGAGTGGGACAGTTGTCATTCATGCAAGTTAAGTAAGCAGGAAGTGTATAAGAAGCGCTCTTACTTGTCATATGGTGTTATGAAGTATTTGCATATGTGACCATGCAAACACACGCACAGATATACATGTATGTATACAGTAGCTGCAGTTTGTGCCTCTCAAACAGTATAAACATAATTTTTATACTTGATACTTTAACAAAGTTCATTTCCATTCCTCTACCCAAACAAAGACAGCAAATTAAATAGCTGCTTGTTAGTTTGAGTTGCTTGTTTTTTTACTTCATTGTTTGGGTACAGTGATGGAGAATCATCTTGAAAAACAGCTGAACTTCACTTAAAACAAGAGTAAATACTTTTTTGTACTGGCAAGACATAAGAGTGAGGAATTTGGACATGTCCTCAAAAATACTGAGATTTTGTTGAAGGTCTTATGACATGTCTCAAACTTTGGCTTGAATCTATTTTTGTGGAAAATTATTTAAGTGATGAAAATGTTATCATCAATGCAAAAGTTTCAAATATAAAAATAATCATTACATGTGAGGGATATTTACATGTGCACAAAGAAACTCACACAATTCCCTCATGTCATCCAAACACTCATGAACTTGAAAACGCACAATGTATAAAACAGCTGACCATATACAGAAACACTGTTGATTCTGCATATGAACTAAAATCACCAGATTATTAGCAGTTTAATTGAGGATTCATTTCAAAATAGATTTAAATTCTGTATTTTCCCTTACCCTTCCATACCAGTAGATGGCAACAGAGAGAGTCATCCAGCATGTACTAGTACAACCTTGTACTAATTTTCTTCACAGTTGGAGAAATCCAAAATGATGCTTAACCTAAATAGAGTTTATTTGTTCTGTCAAATGTGGACTCTCTGAACTACAGTACTAAATAAGCAGCAGAATTAAGACATCAGATCAAAAGGAATAAAATATTTCCCCCATGACTCTGCCTTGTTCCGGATAGAGCATGCAGGGGTCCAATTAACCAAACAAATAATTGAACAGAAATAAATGCAACTCTGAAACATCGAGCATGTCCACAGAGGCACAAGCCAACATAATTAAGAAAGAGAATCCAGTGCTCTTTGAACAGGAAACTTTTCCACAGAACATATTAATTACACTTGTGTTTATGCATATGTATTTGCTGAGTTGAAGAGTTTCCAGCAACTGAGGCTGAATGAAGCCAGCACATCCCAGTTCAACAAATCCTGCCTGAGTTTCTGATGTATGGAGACACAGTTCACTGAACTGGAATAACACTGGTGCAGAACTTTAATTATGAATATGATAAAACTTGTTATATTGATTTGTAAGGTTTCATACTGAAAAGCACTTATGCTTAACTTCAGCATTTCTATATTTGGCTACAGTATATCAGACATGATCTACAGAAGGGTTAGTAAGATAGAAAAGAATAATTCCCTTGAATGAGGAGTGTGTGCAGGACGAGAAAGAGATGAATGAGCAATCTGACTGGAAAGTTCACATAGTTTTCTTACAGCGTCCCTCACGTCTCCCTCCTTTGGTGACAAAGTGACAGCTAGTTCCAGGCTGCCCAGGTTATGTTCAGGGTACTGTGGGTCCTTCAGTTCCAGCGTGACATCCAGTGTCCTACAGGGAGGCACAGTAAACCATGTTCATACTTTAAAGTTGCCACACTGACACTGTACATTCAATACACATAGTTCAGTTCAAGTCTAACACGATGGATGTGCATCACTGAGATAAGACGCCCCACTGACTAACTGCCAGTTTTACTCTTTTCAGTGAGTTACAATGACAAGTAGTTCACCTCGCTAACAATCTCAAATTATCCATAGCATGTTGATAGCAGGGCTGGTAATTATGATAAGAGAGTCTGTATCTCGGGTTAACCCTGCTTTTGACAATTTTATTTAACGTCATAATCCCTAATCCAAATATAAACCAAATGGGTGGCCTCCACCAAATCTCAAAACACAAGATTTTGTGACCTACTATCACTCTTAAGTTGATTGACAGGTCTTTAAAAACAGGGACTAAACATTATCGCAACAGCAAAAGTTATTAAAAGCTTAATACTGCTGCTGTGATATGGAGACAGTTCTGACAATGTGAGACATAGATCTATATCTAGTTATAATAAGCAGTGGTGATCTTTGTTGATTTTGGGAAAAGACAGTTCATTGGAAACATACAGAGTAATGTCTTTCAATGGAAATGTGAATGAAACGTGTTAACATTAAAGCCTCTACATGCTACAGTCATTCTACATCCATATTTTAACTCATCACTTCCAACATCACATAATAGGCCACTAAATAAAAGACAGTTTGACAATGAATGACGGTTTCAACATTATTCATCATAGACATTTTGATTTGTTATCGAAGGAAAAGCACAGGTGAGATGTGTCCTCATGAGCCATGACAGAGAGCCAGCATGCAAAATACCAGTGCCGTGGAGCTAACTCACCTAAATGGAGTGAGTGTGTAGGGCTTGACACACAGCAGTACTTCTACTTAACAGAAAATAATGATGGACTTTCGGTAATTTAAATCCTCTATATACAATCAAAATGGAATATAGCCTTGTTATGCTTCATGAGGTATAAGGTGAGGTACCAAAGACTGCCACTAGAGGGAGACCACAGGCTATATTTGATCAAAATGACATCACATCAAAAGCAAGGAAAGATGTTTGGAGATTGTTGTGTGGTAAGAGAAAGGAATCCCTAACCTTTAACCTAACCATTCTTGACATGCAGCTATCAACATACTATGTCAAATAGAATCAGTGTAGACAAAGAGTACAGGAGACAGTTTAGTTAAAAGGAGGGGCGGAGGATTGAGGATGATTAAAGTGTTACTGGAAAGAAAATTAGTACTAAAAAAAAAGAAAAGGCAAAAGAAACAAAGAGACCTCTGATGTTCCAGTGACTCCAGGTAGAGGTACGCTGAGCCCATGAAATCATCCTGAAGTCCAAAGTCATAGTCAAAAACCTACAAAAGAGACAAGACAGTACAGCAACTGTCAAGAGAGGACCCTCAACACCACACTGCATATGTTGTCCGTCTCTGACATTATTTTCACATTAACTAGTCATAACTTGCATAAAAAGAAAACTTGCATAGAGAGTTGTCCATCGAGACTTTAACAGTCATCCAAAACAAAACAGCAGTTTATATTACAGCAAGATGAAAGCTGAAACTCATCGGCTGTACCTTGACATATAGTGGGTCTCTCAGGGTTTCCACATGTAGGCTTACTCTCTCATCCCACACCGGGTTGAGGTTCTTATGGATGGTCTTACTTCTGAACACCTCCTTCCCTGCAATCTTAAACTTCACATATGGGTCACTGGTGCCTAAAGGGAAAGACACCAAAGACAGATACAAACTGGTAAATAACAGGATTGAGAAGAGTACCACCAAAATTATGGTATATGCTACCCATCCAACTATCTATGAGAAAAAGTGCTAGGGTCAAACTGAAAGTGTAAGCAGGTCACATTCATCAGCTTGTCTCATTGGTCAAATAGTGTTATCTACAATTAGGACTGTGATAAAATAGTTACTGACATGTGAGTCAAAAACATTCAAATTAACGAAGGCGGATGATAATTGAGTAATCATATCAGGATCTGAAAAAGAACATATCCTATATGTTTTGAGATGTTGAATGATTCAGTTTCCAATTACAAAAAAACATGTGTTTGCACAATTTACACAATTACCTTGTACCATGCAGCTCTTTTATTATAGCCTCTCTAGGACAGTCACAAGGCATGTCATGTGACTCATGATTGTGGGTCATATGATCACCAGTATTAAATTGTGAATCTGGGGCTTGAAGGCTTATGTCCAACACAGTGCCTCTATATGACCACTAGGTGGAGCCATTGATCTACATTTGTTTTGTGAAGTTCCACACATTGATTTTGGTGGCATCAATGAATACTGTGAAACTAGTCTTTGTTTTTATTATGAATTAATAAACATTCATTGGGTTAGCATTCTTACAAACTGTTCATTCCTAAACTGTACACAAACAAATACATAAGCTTTTACTCATAAACATAATCACACAAATATGTTCTTAGGCCTGTAAGACACACACATAAGGTACAGTGTCCTCTGTGAGATACTTGAAGCACATACAGGCTAGAGGTTCCACAATTTATTATCTCTATGCATTCACCATGATGACCAAGAGGAAAAATATAAGGTAATTCTAAATCTATATTTTATTACCATGACAAACGGGCATTGATTCTCCTTTCCACTACATTTCTACCATTCTATTCCCCAAGGTCCATAAACCTCAGAATAAAGTCAATTGGTTTGACAGGCAAAGAAAAACTAAGACAGAACAGAGAGAAACATAACATAAATGTAAAGAACAGGGTCAGTTAACGAAATATGGAGACCATAAGGTAAAAAAATGTAAATATAGTATCAATGATATTCAGTCCAGCAGATAAATTTCAGTATGAATCACAAGTAGATTTTTTTCAGTCAAACACAGAAGCTCATTAGTTTACTGGATAACAATAAAACTTACAAGTAACGACAGATTCAAGGCAAATGGGCATTATTCATAATGCAGTGTTTGTATTCAAAGCCATGTCTGTGCAGGAGATTTCTGTCGGTTCACAGTCAGACTCATAACATAAAGGGACCAGAAGAAGACTAATCAGAGATATTTTACAAACACATATAGTTACTTCACACTCATACATATAGATATAACAATATAAAATTTTATATAAATAAAATGATACTTACAGTATATAACGCTATTCATAATGAAAGCAACATGCAAACAAGTTGTATATAATATTTGCACAGGGCCTTTCATCTTATCTTTTCACCATCACACTTTCCAGTGTTTATACATCTAATTGTAAGGATGATGTGCTGCAACTTCCAGTTAAACAGTACCCTAGACTGATCTGTTTGCTTGTGCTGTACTTGTCTCAAATGAGTGTCATGTTATCATGCACTGTGACCAAAGTGATTACCAAGCAAAACACACGAGAGGGAAGGAAATCCTATTATCAAACAATTCTCACCCTCACACACAGTGCATATACACTGCCTGTGGTTTATCTCTTGAATAAAAGACAAATTTAACTAAATATACAGACTATACAGCACAGTACCAGTGAAGATCACGAGCAACCATAGTCCTGAGATACATTTACCTTACCGTTTACCTCGTATGGTAATCTGCCCTGTTTTCTGTTTGGCAGCCTCGAGGGTGGATGCGTTGTAGACACATCTACGGCATATCCAACACAAGACTGACAGCAAGGACACTAGTTGAGAAAAGGATGAACTCCCTCACTGTTTGTACGTCTCATCAGTTCAAGATAAAGGCTCCATCATTAGCAAGAGACTAACAACAAATATGTGTTTCTCATATAATGACCTTACTGATGGTTACTGGAAACAGTAAGGAGACTAATGGCAAGACTGACAGGGCTCATTATGTCATTACAAGAAATATGACATAGTATTCAAATGCATAGTATTAACAAAATTAATCTCAAAAGCATAAAATCTCCTGATGTGATTCTCAGTTGCCAGCAAGCTTTGATGTTAAGAGCAGCAAAATATATACCAACACCGGCCGGCTGGGAAATGATGTCCACTTCTTCACATTTAAAAACAACCTCAAGCAACCTCATGCACACCAGTAGAGCTACTAGAAACACACACACTTAATGTACACACTGTCACCCTTGACATATAAGTGCAGGACAGCTTCAGGAAGGGGACAGAGATGTCTTTGTGTCAGGTAACACACAGTAAATACATAAACAATGCAAAATTCAGTCAAATAAATCCTAAAATCAAAAACATGAGAGGATACTTTATAACCAACATAACGGCAAGACTTAAGAGAAATGGTCCCCTGCTGCATCATGGAGGCAAAAGCCACCAGCCCCCCCCCAAATGGGTCAATATTCCCCAGAAACATCACTGGCTCAGTCTCTGCATCCCATAGTGCCAGCTTTATGGTGCCATAAACACACACAGGCTGAAAAGTATGAAATGGAAAAGGCTGGTGTTGTAAGTGGGTGGCTGAACAGGAGTGAGCGTGGGTACAGTCCAGCACAAAGGAGTGATCACAGAGGTGCTTTCTTGGAAATCAACCACCACACAGTATATGACATTTATAACTTTTGTTTTTTTTTTTTTTAAACTTCCCACAGCTGGGGGAAGTCCATAAAGAAAGAAAGTGAATGTATGTCCCATAGGGCTGGTGGGTGGAGCAATAGATATCATAAGATAAATAAGCTTTAGAAAAATGAATAATGGTTGACATGAATGCATAAAACTAGTTGAGGTTCAAGACAGTCAGTTTTATGGATTGGTGGACCCTAGATATTTGTCCACCTTATGGGCAGTAGGCTGTGAAATGGAAGTGCTGAGTAAGGGGAGAATGGGCATAAGGAGGCAATGTGTCACACACTGATAAAATGGCAAAGGTAGGAAGGTGCCACAGGCACTGAAGTGCAGCCATGGGAAGTAAAAAGTGATTTTCTGTCTTTCTACTGTTGAGTGGCATTAGTGCTGATGCTCATGGGCTAAGTCAAAGTACCCGTAACCAACCTAGACAGGAAACAGTCATCTGAACTCCAATAAAATACAAGTAACCTTCATATAGTCTTCCAACTAAACATGTTTGTATTCATCAGATGTCACATACACAAGCTCACTTTTATGGAAAGAGAAGGTAGGGTCCAGAGGCAGTACTGCTGAGACCAGGCTGAAAGAATAAAACTGCTTGGCTACTAACATGACGTTTACCTAAAAACCAGGTGCTAAGTTAATTCACATTAAGTCACATTCCAGGTTAGTAACAGAGCATACAGTACATTCAGAAAGTATTCAGACCCCTTGAGTCCTCTTGGGTATGATGCACAAGCTTTGCACACCTGAATTTGGGGATTTTCTGCCACTCTTCTCTGCAGATCCTCTCAACCTCTTTCAGGTTGGATGGGGACCCTCGGGTCAAGTCAGGGCACTGGCTAAAAACACCCCCACAGCCCGATGCTGCCACCAAGATCAAGAGGTACCTGAGCTAAATTTCAAATGTCATAGCAAAGGGTCTGAATACTTATGTCAATGTTATTTTCCAGTTTTTTTCCTTAATCAATTTCCTGTAAAAATTTATAAAATTCTGTTTTGCTTTGTCTTATGGGGTATTCATGGGGTATGGATTGATAGGGGAAAAATGAATTTAAACAATTTTAGCATAAGGCTGCAACATAACAAAATGTGAAAAAAGTGAGCAGGTCTGAACACTTTCTGAATGCACTCTAGGTTACCATAGTAACAGACACAGAAATCCCAATATCAGGGGCTTTTCTGTGAGAGACCTTTCTTAAAACCGGAAAATCCAGGATTTCCCTGAAATGTATATGAAAGACATAGTTAACTTCCTAATCCTCATTTCTGGAATAACCCCCTATGTCCACAGACTGGTGGGTGGGTGAGTGAATGAGGAGAAATTGCCAAGGACACAACAAGACACTGAGAGGTTCGTATAAAAGGTGTTAATCTAATAATCATCTATTATGCCATTGAAACCAACCACTACATACTCTAATAGTAGCTGAGATTAGAAATAAATGTGTTTATGAGAGAACCCAGTTGCGCAAGCAGCAGGTAAATTTGCTTTGGGTGTGGCACATAGGCAGACCTAGACTGATAAACTTGCTTTTGATAGCTGCTCTCTGTCTTCCTGACAGGCAGCTGAAAACATAATCCACCACACATTTATCTCTTCTGAACCCCTAATGGGCAGCGGCCATAAAAATACTGCTCACTGTGTCTGCCTGCCAGTAAGCCAGGCTGCTCTGCCAGACACCTGAGAATGCAACAACAGCAAGCTTAAAAACACAACCCAATGATCAAGATGTAAACAAAAGCCTCCACTAATAAAACTTGCTATCACATTTCATTTAAGCAAAGAAACACTATTAAATTATCAAATTTATTATTAAATTTTTCAATTATAGTTTAAGCATATATGCCAAATGTATATGGTCAAAAATAGTACAAAATTTGCTGCCAGGTTTTTGTGTACATATACCGTTATTCGCATGTAATATATGTATGTGTGCATAATCATTGTTGAGACACCTTGTGTGATTGTGCACAGTAACTTGACTTGATAAACAAAAAGGTAAAAAGGAATGGCAACATTTACGTTGTGCACCCAAACAATCTTTCAACCTTGTAGATCCAAGATACATCAGTGCAGGTAAAGGTGAAAGGATAGCTAACAGTAGGAGACTCGGCATTACATTTACTCATTTGGCACTTTATCCAAAGCGACTTACAAGTTAAGGGG